AAATCTACAAACAATATAATAAAAAACATTAGTAATTGTTAAATAATTAATTATAATTTTGAAAACATTATATAGAAATTCTTACCTTAAAGGCCCAAACAAAGCCTGACAAAGTGTATTTCGACCCATCGCCACGCAAACTTTTGCGGTCATCAAAGGCAGACGACAACTTAGTCCAGGTAGCTTTCCATATATACGAACCCCACGGAAACAGATTCCATGCATTTAGGTCCTGTGCCAATAATATTAGCTCCTGAGGAATAGGTTGTCTGGCCTCTCTGCCTAAAAAGTCGGCATACAAAAGTACTAGAAGGCATACTCAGACAACATCGACGTCATTCATCCGAGTAAAACCATCTTTCTTATTAAATAATTTCTTCAGGTCGTCGACGTGTAAGTTCGGCTTCTCTATTGACTCATCAGGAAAAACTCAGGATAACCATGATAGACGGGTGATATGACGAGTGTACTGGCCTACATCATCGTGTCCGAATCGTAGACCAGTGATTAAGCAGAACTCCTTCCGCCCAAAACAAGTAAACGCCGGTGGAAAATGAAATCATATCTCTTCCTCACCACGTTGTATACTGTCGGGTAGATCGCTAGTCATGGTCTGAAGCCACAAATGGGTCAAATTAGCATCTCCACCCGGATGTTGTACTCTCAGCCATGGCCCGAAGCAGGTTTCCTCAAACAATTTTCTTTGTGCAGGTGAAAGCTTCGAAGCAATTGTAGTGGCTAGGCTAACTTTATTCCTTAATGTCAATGAAGCCGAAAAAAAATTCTACAAAAACAATAAACATACCAAGTTAGATATACCAAAAACTACACTGTGAAGATATACCAAAAACAATAAACATAAAGAGTAGTAGTTTATTCTTGAAACTAAAATTTGCAACACTGTTTTGTCTTTTGGTTGAAATGAAAATCACAACGAGAGAATGAAAATCGCAACGCGGAAATGAAAATCGCAACACGAAATGAAAATCGCAACGCGAAACCATAATCGCAATGCGATTTTGGTTTCGCGTTGCGATTTTCATTTCGCGTTACGATTCTCTCGTTGCGATTTTCATTTCGCGTTGCGATTTTCATTTTCATGTTTCGATTTTAAGTTTAGAAACTATTCTTCTTCTGCAAATTGAAACTTTAATGGATTGCATTACTTCAACCAAAAGACAAAACAAAGACAAATACTAACTTCACAGGGTTAAAGACTAAATAGTTTAGCAGTATTGGCAGCAATCGAATGAATTTAATAAGAAATCTAAGTGAAATGGTTAATCTATTATTGAAATTACCAGTAAACTTATCATCAATTTCAATATGAAAAACCTAAAATAATGCAAAATTTTTAAAATAAAAATAATTAAAAAAACTAACCCTCAGAGGTTGATTTTCCATTTCTGAATGATTGTGAGGGATTTCTGACCGTGAATGGTTGTGAGGGATTACGCCGGAGATGAGGACGGAAATCTTCGGAGATGGGGACGGATTTCGCCGTAGAGAGTGAGAGATGGAGATGGGACTGAGTTGTGATTTTAGGTTTTAGGTTATGAGTTGCGATTACGGGATATACTGTGGACGGTTCAGTGTTCCATTAATTAATATTCGTGTTTGGAATTTGAAAATAAAATACGCGTAGCGATTCTAATGGCGCTTTAAAAATCGCGTTGCGATTTACGGATACGCGTTGCGATTTTACGTATTGTCATTGCGATTTACGGATACGCATTGCGATTTACGTATTCTCGTTGCGATTTACAGATACGCGTTGCGATTTACGTATTCTCGTTGCGATTTATGGATACACGTTGCGATTTTACGTATTTTCGTTGCGATTTACGGATACGCGTTGCGATTTTACGGATACTCGTTGCGATAGTCAGAATCGCGTTGCGATTTATATGTTCGCGTTGCGATTTTCATATTTGCGTTGCGATTCTGGAAAATCGCAATGCGAATTTGTACTATCGCATTGCGATTCTTCATAATCGCGTTGTGATGAGTGTTCAGAATAGTTAATATTTGCTCGTTATTTCTTCGGTTTTGTGGATTTATTGATGTTGATTTGGTCGTGTTGTGCTTATTTTCGTACAGGTCATTGTTTTCCAGAATTTGTGACAAAACGGGGGAATTCTGCATTTTTTTATTATTTGGTCACGGCTGGAGACATGGGCACGACTCTGGGCACGACGCGGTATGACGTGGCAGTTTCTAGAAGGTCCAGTCAGCGGCGGTTTCTAGAAGACTTCTTCCGCACGCCTTCTGGAAGATTGACGAGTAGAGTTGCATTATGAGACTAGTTTAAGTTTGAATTTAAATTTAAAAATAATTATCTTTTGTATTATTTTATTATTTTCTTTGCTTATCCTTTAGGCTTTGAGAGGCTATAAATACCCACTTGGGGTAAGCCTAAAATCATCATTCATAATACATTCTTCTTTTCTCTCTAGTTTTTATAAAAGTTTTCTCTTTTCCTTTTCAAGTTCTTTTTATTTTTCTTTATTTTCAAGTTTTATTTTTATGCTAAGTATGACTTTTGTCATGCTTAGCTAAACTTTTCCTAAGCCGAGAGCTGTCGCGATGATTCAATTCCAACGGGAGAATTGAAACGGTCCCTTAATATCTTCGGAATCTCTCTCACAATCTCTGCGCTTATTTTTCAAAATCAAAACAGTTTTCAAAATCTAAGATTGACTTTGGTCAAGAAGTTGTTGCGATTAAACGTGTGGGAGGAAGATTCGACTTATAGAAAGCAATTCGACTTCCTGGGAACACACTTGGCGAGATAGCTTCGCCAAGAGGGAATTGAGATCGGAATTGACGGTTATAGAAACAACAATCCGAGTCGGTCGCCACGAACTTAAACGGTATTTGATCTACGACAATAGATGTTGTTAGAATCAACTACCGAAGCCGGAATCAAAGATTCCCTTGGGTATTCGGTATACAAGATAGAGTCACAAGGATAGCCCTTGTAGACAAAGTAACCGACGTGAATCCCGAAGAGAAAATCTTATTCGATGATCTAAAGGAAATTGAATCAAAGCGAAGCTTGAGGCTACTTTTACCGTATTTATTCACAATCTTCACCTTCTTATTTTTACTTTAATTACTTTTATTTAATCACTTTATTATCTTTACTAAAATCCCCACATTTTTACTGTTTCACGCCTGGCATAAATAATTCAGACAGAAATTTATAATTTTCTAAGTCCCTGTGGAATCGACCCTTACTTCTCTTTGCTACGCATTTCCTTAATTTATTGATTGAGAATAAGGAATTATTTTGACATCCGAAATGACAGTTGTCAAATTGGCGCCGTTGCCGGGGACTTCGCCAAAGTTACTAATTTTTGTTTGTTTTTTATTTATGACCAGGACTAATCCGGGCACATTAGTGAAGTACAACCCGGAGATCGAAGCTGAAGCTAGGAGACTCCACGCACAGACACTTCGGGAAAGAAGGAGACAGAAATCAAATCCAGAAGAAGAATTAAATTCAGGTAATACAAATCCGATGGCCGAACCTACTATTCGGGAGTTAGCCGCGGCACCCACTGAACAAGGGCCTATGTGCATTGATCTTCCCCAAGGCGAAACTCCATACCAATTGAAAACTGGCCTTATTCATCTCCTCCTTACATTCCGCGGATTGCCAAACGAGGATCCACACAAATATCTCAAAGAATTTCACATGGTCTGCTCTAGCATGACACCACAGGGAGTAACCGAGGACCAAATAAAACTTAGAGCTTTCCCTTTTTCCTTAGCCGACTCGGCTAAGGAGTGGTTATTTTATCTTCCTCCTAATTCTGTTACTACATGGGCTAATATGACTCGTCTTTTTCTTGACAGGTTTTTCCCTGCGGAAAAAGTAAGTGAACTACGAAAGAGAATACTTGGAATCAAGCAACTTGATGGAGAGTCGCTCTACGACTACTGGGAGCGGTTTAAGAAGTTGTGTTCTAGTTGCCCACAACATGGGCTAACCGAACAAACACTCATTCAATAATTCTATGAAGGATTATCTCCCCTGGAAATGAAGATGATCGATGCTGCTAGCGGTGGAGCCTTGGTGAATATGACTCCTACCGAGGCTAGAGACTTAATATCGATGATGGCTGTAAATTCCCAACAGTTCCGCGCAAATAATGAACCTTCTCGAAGTGTTCATGAGATAAGTTCATCTTCCTTGGAAAGTAAAATAGATAAGTTAACTGAAGTCGTAAACTCTCTTGTTGCAGGAAAGACAGGACAAAACCGATTATGTGGAATATGTGCACTACCTGATCATCCAACAGACGGTTGTCCACTAATTCAAGACGATGCAACAACTCAAGTCAACGTAGTAGGAAACTTCCCGGGACCTCCCAAAAAAGCTTATAATCCTTACGGTAATACATACAACCCAGGATGGAGGGATCATCCGAACTTCAGTTATGCGCAGAACCCGAGACCGAATCAAGGCTATCAAGCGAGACCTTCACCACAACAACAGCCGTAGAAGACATCACTAGAATCGATTGTCGAAAGGTTAGCACTATCCCAGGAGAAATTCCAGACCCGAACTGAAGCCCACTTCCAAGAGATGGACAAGAAATTGAGCCAACTGGCTCAAACCGTTGGGAGATTAGAGTCACAAGGTAAACTTCCGTCTCAAACTGAAGTGAATCCGAGGGAAAACGTTAGCGCCATCACCCTTCGGAGTGGTACAGTAGTAGCGCCACCTATCCCATCGGACCAAGCAGTCCAAAAAGAAAAGAAGACAAATGACGCAGGATCCCAGAATAAGAATGAAGAAGAACAAGTGGACGATCCGACGCCATCTCCTTATGACGTGCCACCTCCTTTTCCATCAAGGTTAGTTAAAAAGGATAAAAAACCGAAGAAAAGGAAATATTAGACGTACTTCAGAAAGTGGAGGTTAATATACCTCTACTTGAGGTTATCCGAAAAGTTCCAAGGTATGCCCGATTTTTGAAGGATCTCTGTACGACAAAGATGAAGCTTACCGGAGTCGAGAAAGTAAGCTTAAGAGCGAACGTCTCAGCCGTTTTCCAACGAAAGTTACCACCCAAACTGAAGGACCAAGGTATTTTTGCAATCCCTTGTAAAATTGGTAAGGTTGAGATTAAACGTGTTATGTGTGACCTTGGTGCATCAATTAATGTAATGCCTCTATCTGTCTATAAAATGGTCACTAACGATCCTTTGAAGGATACAAAGATTTCGATACAGCTTGCCGATAGATCAGTAATATATCCTGAAGGACTCTTGGAGAATGTATTGGTGGAAGTAAACGACTTGATATTTCCCGCCGATTTTTATATAATCGATATGGAGAATGAACGCAAGAACACATCGTCCGATATTCTTTTGGGGCGCCCTTTCCTAAGCACTGCACACACAAAAATTGACGTGAAAAGCGGAATTTTAACTATGGAGTTTGACAGTGAGATCGTTAAATTTGACGTATATAAGGCAATGAGATATCCTGATAAAGTGGAAAGTTTAAATTATGTCGACTCAATTGATCCTTTGGCTGACGAATTTTTAAAGACTAATTTCTCTTTTGATATATGCAGAGAGCTGGAGAGTCATGATGAGAACGTGAATTATGATCATACAGAATTGAATTTGATTTCTTCTAAAATCTTACATTCTGTTCTGCAGGCACCCGAAGTTAAACTTAAACAGTTGCCTGACCACTTGAAATACGCCTTCCTCGGACCAAACAACACTCTGCCAGTAATCATATCAAAAGGGTTATCCGATGAGGAGGAAAAAGACTTGATCACGTTTTTGCGCCAAAACAAAGGGGCTATAGGATGGACCATCGCTGACATAAAAGGTTTGAGTCCATATACTTGTATGCACAAAATTAAAACCGAAGAAGGCGCAAAACCAACACGTGAGGGTCAACGCCGGTTGAATCCACCAATGATGGAAGTGGTAAAAAAGGAGATACAAAAACTCCTAGATGCATATATTATATATCCAATTTCGGATAACAAGTGGGTAAGTCCGGTACATGTAGTTCCTAAAAAAATTGGAGTTACTGTGGTTGAAAATTCTGAAGGAGAACTTATACCAACACGAGTTCAAAATGGGTGGAGAGTCTGCATCGATTACAGGAAGTTGAATTCGTTAACTCGGAAAGACCATTTTCCTCTTCCATTTATAGATCAAATGATAGAACGATTAGCCGGTAAATCTCATTATTGTTGTCTTGATGGATTTTCAGGTTTCTTTCAAATTCCAGTAGCACCTGAAGATCAAGAAAAAACGACATTCACATGCCCCTTCGGTACCTTTGCCTACCGACGTATGCCTTTCGGACTTTGCAATGCACCTGCCACATTCTAAAGGTGTATGATTAGTATTGTTTCTGATTTTGTTGAGAAAGGTATTGAGGTCTTCATGGACGACTTCACTGTTTACGGTAATTCATTCAAGGAATGTCTATTAAATTTGAAAAATGTGTTGCGTCGGTGCCTAGAATTTAACCTTGTTTTGAATTATGAAAAGTGTCACTTTATGGTTCATAAAGGTTTGATTCTAGGACATATTGTTTCGTCCAAAGGTATTGCGGTAGATAAGGCGAAAACGAATATCATACGTTCACTTCCTTACCCCACTTCGGTGAGGGAAATTCGTTCTTTCCTTGGTCATGCAAGTTTTTACCGTAGATTCATTAAGGACTTCTCTAAAGTGGCACAACCATTGTGCGAGCTATTACAGAAGGATAAAATCTTCAATTTCGACCAAAAATGCCAACAATCGTTCGACGTATTGAAGGAAAAGTTAGTGTCGGCACCCATAGTCCAATCGCCAAATTGGGACTTTCCCTTCGAGGTTATGTATGATGCTTCGGATGGAAGCGTTGGGGTTGTGCTCGGACAAAGATTGAGAAAGAACCTCACATTATCGCTTATGCATCTCGCACCTTGGATTTCGCACAACAGAATTATTCAACAACCGAAAAAGAATTACTTGCCATTATTTTTGCATTAGATAAATTTCGATCATATCTTCTTGGCACTAAAGTTATTGTTTTCTCCGATCATGCAGCCTTGAAGTACTTGCTCAGCAAAAAGGAGGCGAAACCATGACTGATCCATTGGATCTTGCTCCTCCAAGAGTTTGATTTGGAAATCAAGGACAAGAAAGGATGTGAGAACTTAGTAGCCGATCACTTAAGCCGGTTTCCAATCACTGCGGTTGATTCTCCCATTCGTGAAGAATTCCCGGAGGAAATCTTGATGATGACGCAAACATCAATACCTTGGTTCGCAGATATAGTTAATTACTTGGCTACAGGGAAGGTACCATCTGATTTAACGAGAGCCAAAGTAAACCGCGTTAAGAGAGAATCTCGTTTCTTCATTTGGAATGATCCATATCTTTGGAAGCATTGTTCAGACCAGGTAATTCGTCGATGTGTTCTTGAAAGCGAGGTAAGCTCAATCTTAAATTTTTGTCATTCTTATTCGTGTGGTGGACACTTTGGACCGAAACGAACTGCTCATAAAGTCTTGGAATGCGGATTCTTTTGGCCTCATATTTTCCGTGATACCTACTTGTTCTGCAAAATTTGTGATAATTGTCAACGTGTAGGTAATTTGAGTCGAAGAAACGAAATGCCCCTTGATCCTATACATATATGTGAAATATTCGATGTTTGGGGACTTGACTATATGGGTCCATTTGTTTCTTCTTTTGGCAATTGTTATATAATTCTTGCGGTTGATTATGTTTCGAAGTGGGTGGAGGCTAAGGCCACTCGCAACAACGATGCTAAAACTACTGTTCAATTTCTAAAGAATTGTATTTTTTCCAGGTTTGGTACACCGAGAGCGATAATAAGCGATCGTGGCACACACTTCATCAATCGAGTAATTGATGTGCTTATGAGGAAGCATGGAGTGAATCATAGAATTGCCACGGCTTATCATCCGCAAACGAACAGACAAGCAGAAGTTTCAAACCGAGAAATCAAGATGATTCTTGAGAAAATAGTTAAGCCAAATCGCAAGGATTGGAGCTTGAAATTGATTGACGCTCTGTGGGCTTATCGGACTGCATACAAAGGACCTATTGGCATGTCACCATACGGCCTTGTGTTCGGTAAGCCGTGCCATTTACCCGTCGAGTTAGAACATGAGGCGTATTGGGCCGTAAAACAGTGCAATATGGAGCTAGAAGCGGTTGACGAAACACGGAAGTTACATATACAAGAGCTTGAGGAAATTCGGAGAGATGCTTACGACAACGCAAAAATATATAAGGACAAAACAAAAGAATTTCATGATCGAAAAATTGTTTCTAAATCTTTTTCTATCGGGCAAAAAGCTCTTCTTTTTAACTCAAAATTAAAACTTTTTTGCAGGTAAACTTCGGTCAAAATGGAACGGACCTTATACAGTAACTGGAATATTTCCTCATGGCGCAGTCGAAATTGAAGATAATTCGGGCACTCGGCTTAAAGTCAATGGACACATGGTTAAGCCATATTATGCGAATAGCGAAGTTTGCTTAATTGAAGATCTCAACTTGGAAGAACCTGTAGTCTGAATCAGGTCGTCGAGCTAACGACGTTAAACAAAAGCGCTTCATGGGAGGCAACCCATTGTTTTCAATTCCGTTATATTTTTATTTTTATTTTTTCTTTTATTTTTTTTCTGATTAAGTATATTTTATTTAATTTTGCAAGAATTTCAAACTTAAACAACGAAGAATTGAGAGATTATCGTCCGAACAATGCTAAATTCTACCCCCTAGGAGCATGTAACGGTGCACGTTAGCACACTTCTAAGGAGACCGGTCGACCGTAAATCCGGGGAGTACTATGTTCCTTCTCTTGCACTTTAATTTTTCGTTTTGAGGCAAAACGCTTTAAGTGAGGGGGAGTAGAGTGTAGGATTGAGTTTCCTTTCGCTTATCTTTATGCTTTGAATCTAATATGTGTTGGTTGAATTGGTCGGAAATTTCATTAATTATCTTTGTCTTGTTGAAATTTTTTGGAATGCTATGCTTGCTTGGGAACACATAATTGTTTAGGTTAGGATATTCTTGATAGCGAATAGCATGAATTGTGATAAGTTGGTATTTTTGTGATATTTCATGACTTTGTTGGTTGAAATGTGATTAGCTCAATGCATGAAACAATTTGGTGAGATTTGAGCCTTTACGAGCATATCATTTTCGCTCTCATTTTGTTTGATTGAGTGTGTCGAATTTGGCATTGGTATTCTAGAACCTGCATGTTAAATACTGTCGAGATTACACATGAACATGATGCTTAAAAATGATTTGGGCACCTTAGGATTAACCATTCCGTTTCCCCACTAAATAGCCTACCCATGCATATTTTCCCTTAGTTAAACACTTTTGAGCCTATTCTCGCTTCTTTGTTTTCACCATATTCATAAACCCGAGCCTTTTTATTTTATCCCTCTTTTCTACCTTTTTCAGGGCAAGTGAATAATTTTTACCATTGTATTCTCCATCGAAAAAATGTTGAATGAAAAAAAGAAAAAAAAAGCAGCTGTTCAAAAAAAAAGAGACTGTTCGAAAGAAAAAAAGAACACAAAAAAAGACGTGAAAAAAAATGCAAGACAAAACAACAAAATTGTGAAAAATGCATTTCGATAAGAAATTTGTTGTTTGATATTTTGTTTTTTTATCTTGTTGTGCTTAATGTTTTGATGGAGTTGAGATTATTATTTGTTAGTTCCTTGCCTTGAACATTTAGCCTTATGTTTAGCCTTTTCCCCACCTTTACCTAAGCCCCGTTACAACCAATAAAAGACCCTTTGATTTATGCATCTTGTTCTTATTAGTAGTGGAGATTTGATTTACTTACAGGCTTATGGTAATACTGTGTAAATTCTGACATTGAGCGTTTCTTTACCCCAAACACATGGAGTGATTTGAGTGAATCCCAGTAAGGTATTGAGTTATGAGCATTGAAATTAATGAATGAATGGATATTACAATTGCACTTGACTTGTTCTAATTGGTGATGTTCAATTGATTGATTTCTTGACTTGAATAGTTATTGTGGTCTCTACCTTGCTTCCCTAAATGTGAAACTTGAGAAAGAACGTTTAATGAAGTTTTTGACTGATTTGGTTAATCATACTTGAGGACAAGCATGAGATAAGTGAGGGGGAATTTGATGAGTGTTCAGAATAGTTAATATTTGCTCGTTATTTCTTCGGTTTTGTGGATTTATTGCTGTTGATTTGGTCGTGTTGTGCTTGTTTTCGTACAGGTCATTGTTTTCCAGAATTTGTGACAAAATGGGCGAATTCTACATTTTTTTATTATTTGGTCACGGCTGGAGACATGGACACGACTCTGGGCATGACGCGGTATGACGTGGCAGTTTCTAGAATGTCCAGTCAGCAGCGGTTTCTAGAAGACTTCTTCCGCACGCCTTCTGGAAGATTGACGAGTAGAGTTGCATTAGGAGACTAGTTTAAGTTTGAATTTAAATTTAAAAACAATTATCTTTTGTATTATTTTATTATTTTCTTTGCTTATCCTTTAGGCTTTGAGAGGCTATAAATACCCACTTGGGGTAAGCCTAAAATCATCATTCAGAATACATTCTTCTTTTCTCTCTAGTTTTTATAAAAGTTTTCTCTTTTCCTTTTCAAGTTCTTTTTATTTTTCTTTATTTTCAAGTTTTATTTTTATGCTAAGTATGACTTTTGTCATGATTAGCTAAACTTTTCATAAGCCGAGAGCTGTCGCGATGATTCAATTCCAACGGGAGAATTGAAACGGTCCCTTAATATCTTCGAAATCTCTCTCTCAATCTCTGCGCTTATTTTTCAAAATCAAAACAGTTTTCAAAATCGAAGATTGACTTTGGTCAAGAAGTTGTTGCAATTAAACGTGTGGGAGGAAGATTCGACTTATAGAAAGCAATTCGACTTCCTGGGAACACACTTGGCGAGATAGCTTCGCCAAGAGGGAATTGAGATCGGAATTGACGGTTATAGAAACAACAATTCGAGTCGGTCGCCACGAACTTAAACGGTATTTGATCTACGAAAATAGATGTTGTTAGAATCAACTACCGAAGCCGGAATCAAAGATTGCCTTGGGTATTCGGTATACAAGATAGAGTCACAAGGATAGCCCTTGTAGACAAAGTAACCGACGTGAATCCCGAAGAGAAAATCTTATTCGATGATCTAAAGGAAATTGAATCAAAGCGAAGCTTGAGGCTACTTTTACCGTATTTATTCACAATCTTCACCTTCTTATTTTTACTTTAATTACTTTTATTTAATCACTTTATTATCTTTACTAAAATCCCCCTATTTTTACTGTTTCACGCCTGGCATAAATAATTCAGACAGAAATTTATAATTTTCTAAGTCCTTGTGGAATCGACCCTTACTTCTCTTTGCTACGCATTTCCTTAATTTATTGATTGAGAATAAGGAATTATTTTGACATCCGAAATGACAGTTGTCACGTTGCGATTCTGGGAACTGATTTGCGATTCTGGAGATCGCGTTGCGATTTTTATTTCGCATTGCGATTTTGTTGGTCATTTTGGCAAATCCAAAAAAAGTTGGTTAAAATCGTATATTATAAGGAATTTTTTGTCACTGAGGTTATTTTCTCTTTCTTATATTAATTATTTGATCCGTATTCAGTTACAAAATTTCTACCACATTCATATCGAGTGTATAAATTATTTAACTCCACAAAAGTGACCAACTTTATCTTATTTATGCATTTACCAATATCAACATGTTCCATAAAGCATAAAGAGGTAGTAAAGTATTACCTCAATTTTTGTGTCATACCGATCGACCATAAAAATTTTATTCGAACGCCCTCGACCTTGAAATCAATTTTCAATATTTTCCTCACGGTTCAGGCCATCAAAATTACTAACTGTATCCAAATACTTTCCCTCGCCATAAAGATAGCTTATTAAAAATCCTTTCTGAAATAGAGGGACATAACTGACAAAATTAAGAACTCAAAGGGCCAATTTAATACTAGTTACCAATGCAAGTGACCGAAATAATCTAGTTCGAACCATTAGACAATATTCATAATTATATAGAAAATAGAAGACAAGGTTGATATCTTACCAAACTTGGATGACTTTTGTTGTGATTTACCCTTCATCCTTTATTAAATTTTTCCTACAACCCACGTGCTCTCTCTAACCTTCATACTTTTCTTATTTTCTAATTTCTTTCACGCTTAATAAACCTCACCAGTGTGCTATAGCAGAATTATACTCATTTCTAACAAGCTTATCCCCATTTGGCATGAAGCTCCAGGACGAGGCGTTCTTCATGGGGAGTCATCTTCCCCCTTTTGAGACCAGGGTGCAAGTAATTAACCCATCGTAACCTGCAACTTTTCCCGGTTCGATTCAAACCTACAACAAACTCATGTGGTTAAAGAAAAAAGGGTCATTCCCAAAAACCTGCCAATCTTCCGGATAATCCTACCTATTTCATTGTCTCCCGCCAGACCTTCAAACCTGAAACTTTTGCTATAAAATCCCATCGCCAGTCTCCAAACAAATGAACAAAGTTCACCAGTAGGACGTCTTCTTGTTCGATCCACGGACCTTTTCGGACTTCATCTTGCACCATTTTCATTCTCTCTTGGATTCTTCCTGGAAAAAGGTATTTAAGTTCAACAAATTGCTGCTAGTTCATGGAGACATAGGCGTACACTAGTCAAATATATATATATATATATATAGTATTAAGCTACTTGTTGTGAAGAGGCGTTAATTGTCTCATTACTGGTGTACACTAATAAACATGATGATATTATTGCAAATAGTTTAATGGTGTAATGCGCGCATGCCATTTGTGATAACAACTTTATGCATCTGATGTCAGCCAATATAACTAAATAATTTAAGTGATAGATTGATCTGTTAATGAAATTCTCAAGACGTTGTTACTCCAAAGTGAATGCATTGGAAGCAATGGATTCCAGGCAAGTCCATTATCATTAATTTAATCTCATCACACCCAACAATTTGTCCACTTCTACCTACTCTATCATCCTCATTCACTATTTTCTTTTAAAATTAAAATTCCCCTTACTAAAAAAAATATCTTTTATTGAGGGCCCTCAATTTTGTCCACTTTTACCTAAATTGGGGAGTGACAAAGAGCATCCTCAACAACTGTTGTAACTGATCTTTCTGACCCACCATCAACTGCACAAGGGAAATCTGTTAGCGCATTTGACTCTGCTGATACTCCAGAGTTTTCATGAACACTTGCTAGTCATGATGATGATAGGGCTACCCAGGGAAGTATGTCACTCTGTGATGATGCAACTAATGATGATGAGTCCGAGTCAAAAACAAGGTATCAAAGCTTTTTATGTTGTTAAATCATCATAGTTTGTTTTGCTTCGTCATATCTGTGTCGTTTTTTTTTACAAATCGTACTACAAGTATGTGATCATATATGATCTTTCAATTTTATACATAGAAATTAAATATTACAGGCTAAAAATGGTTGTACCTACTGCTTTGTGCATGATTGTTCAATTCGTTTTTTGCTGTATTATCTATTGTCTTTTATTATTTAATTTGTATAGCCCAAAACTATTACTCAAAAGAATATAATATTGTTGGATAAATTGAAGTATTAAGTATTGGATTTGTTTTATAGAGATTATTTGATATGTTATTGAAAATTAAAATAGATAGTGTACATAATTATATTTTTATTACAGTAAACATTGAATTTGCCAATAAATTTTTGTTTAATGTCAAAAGTTTTGAAAGTACGAACCAAACGATCTCCATAGTTAAAGAATTATTATTATTTCTTGAGGTTTCGGGTTTGATCATCACGTATACATGAATATAAATGTATAATGTCATATGGTTGAACACATAATAACTTGTATTTATCTCATACTAATAAATAAAGTTTTGAAAAATCTCACTATATTTTAAATAAATAGTTTACTTTAAATAATTATTCACTTTAAAATTCAACCCTATAACATAATAACATTTTATAAATGCTCGGTGACTTTGAATAAAAACTAAATAGAGTGATCTAAATATTTCAATCAATATAACACATTAATATTAAATTAACCTTCAATTTTATAAGTGTTAGAATTAAATTTTAATAAAATACAAGACAAACTCGATTACAACAAAGTAAATTATACGCTTAGTATCATGATTATCACTTTTGTTTTATTTTTGATTATTTAATTATTATTATTTTTAAAATTATACTTAACGTTACGTTTTGATTCAAATTTTAATAGAACTATCGACGTGATATTTTTTAAAAAAATTAATGATAATATGACATTAACTTATTGATATGTCAATATCACAATTAATCTTTTAATGATGTGATTAAAATGAATTAAAATATAATATTAAATACAATTTAAAAATAATTTTTAAATTAAAATAAAAAATAACTAAATCATTAAACACAAAAAAAAATTGAGATATTAATGTGCAATTTATAAAATAGGAGTATATTAGTTCCTCTACTCCTCTCCCTCACCGTAACATATTATGCCCTTAGCCATCAAGCATATATCTACAAAAGAAAAAGGAAAAAGAAGGGACTAGGGAAAAAGAAAACCAGAGAGTCCATTGATTATCAACGCTCAAGGTTTCTGTATTTGTTTTTCAATCGATCATGACGGGCAAAGCCAAGCCGAAGAAGCACACAGCCAAGGAAATCGCAGCCAAGATTGATGCCGCCACAACCAACCGAGGAGGCGGTAAGGCCGGAATAGCTGACCGTTCGGGGGTGGAGAAGGGTGGACATGCCAAGTTCGAGTGTCCCCATTGCAAAGTAACAGCCCCTGGTGTGAAGTCGATGCAGATTCACCATGAATCCAAGCACCCTAAGATTCCCTTTGAAGAATCAAAGCTTGTGGATCTTCATGCTACTCATGTCGCTGAGTCTTCCAAGCCTCGTCCCGGTGTTAGGGGTAGCTTGAAGAAGTGAAATTTATTAATAAAACTAGACGTCTTCTTTAACATTTCGTGCTATTGGGTTGTTCTGGAATCTGGGTCTGTTTTCTTTAGTACTAGGTTTGGATAAAAAAAAAAGGTTGGATTAGCTTTGCAAGGCCCCTCCCTTGACTATGTTATACCTTTATTTAATTCTGATGAAATGTTTGTGGATATGGGTTTTTGTCATGCATTAACTTATTTCTTAGAAACCTAAATAGCAACTAGATTTAGTTTCTTTAGCTAGTCCATAGAGAGTATAACAGCTTGAATGAGAACTTTACACGTTGAAACGCTTGGATATTTCAATCCAAGAGATTACTGATTAGGAGGGTGAAAGAGGGTGTTTCCTTGATGCCTCTGTTGCATTAATTTATGTATGTGCTTGCCTTGTAGTGCATCCTTTATGTCGAAGATTTGTGTCATCTGGTTAACTTATTTTGGGTTACGAATACTGAACAATGCATCTAGTTACTGTTTTTTGGGGGTTCATTTATATACAAATGGATCCAAGAGTTAATAATGCTGCTGCTGGGTAAAGCTTCATTTTTGGTAACCTTAAATCGGTCTTCATTGCTTAGTTTTATGTAATATTTGAATGTGATCAGTCTTGTGCAGTACCAAATGTTATGTTACTGCTCAAGTTGGGATTGAATTAGTAACCGAGTGTGAAAATGTTATAATCGAGAGGCGATGTGTTGTTATTCGAGTTGGCTGCTGGTTAGATGAAAGCTTCCATTCAATAAGCTTACACTGTTCTGCATCCCTTTATATACTGAATATGTTATAATCGTGTCTGATATTAGAATGTGATTGATCTTATCCTGCAAATTTGATGTTGTAAGGTGATATGTTGTTGATGATCAGGAAGATTATTTTTTTAACTGAAACATTTATGAAGTCTCCATTAAAAATCAATGCATCATGAGGACCAACAAAGGCAGGCACAATATACACAGTAAATATATGCTTTAAAGGAGACATCAACCAGATACGAAAATGCGAAAATGCTCTTCTTTTATTATTAACATAGATTGGAGATCTCTACATTACAAATAAGCACCCCCCCCCCTCTCTCCTACCATTGCCCTAACAAATCGACTACTACCCTTGTGAAAGCATGGGCGTCTCCCATACATTAAAAAAACACACCAAAATGTAGCTATGTAGCAATGGATCAGTTGAGAACACTTTCGGAATGTAAGGGCCTGACCCAATCCCCAACATATGCGATCATTGCTTCTTGGCAGGCTGGTTCGAGGCAGCTATGTGTACCTAATCACATCAGAAACACCAGCTGGAGAGGTCAAGCAAGGCGAGCATGGCAGGACTAGAAGAGCGCCCAATTTGACAAGGACACAGGAATGTATCATTGCTTCTTGGCAGGCTGGTTTGGGATAGCTGCATGTATCTAATTACATCAGAAACACCAGCTGGAGAGGTCGAGCAAGCAACAATCGACCCTTGGTGCAAGCAGAGCAGTAAAATTCTCAGGCTGTCATGCATGAATCATCAGGGCATCATTTGTCAGTACCATATATGCGGCTCAAAAGAGGTAGTTTTTTTAAATAGAAGATTATTTACAGAAGCCCCAATTAACCTTTGTTTGTTTATAGTCTTTTTTAAATTTTTATTGATTTAAAATAAAAAAGAAAAACTAATTTAAATTTTGAATAATTGAATAAAGTATACTTGAAAAACTAAGGTACTTTACACAATTTCTATAAGCTGTATAAATAGCAACTGGAAAACTGATCTTTGAGAAACCTATATCTCTAACACAATCAAACAGTTTACAAGCAATGAAGTTTGCAATCTAAGCAGACGCTACTCGGGGCTTTTGTACATTGTCTTCTCTGTACAGCAGCCGCCTCTTTTTTGAACCATATCCATGGTATTGGTAAATTAGGCTGTGAAGACACTGCCTCAGACACACGACATCAAACGTTTCAATAAATCTCATATCAGTAGGTCGGGATTTGATGCCAGCAAAATGTTGGTACTCCTCAAATACAGATGACAAGCACCAATTCTGCAATTTCCTCAAGCAACCAACAAGACTACCAGTCCGATGCTGCATTAAAGATAAAAAGGTTAGAGTTGCCATAATTTTTATTAAAGAAAAATGAAACCAGCCCCATCGATGTCACTGGCAAAAATCGAGCACTTATCACCTGAAAACTACGAGCCAACTGAGTTCTTATATCCAAATAGAATTTGCATAACTTCTTATGTCTAGACAAAACCGACCCAACACAGCACCGAAATGACATATAATTCGTTCCATGTAGCTTTCATTAAATTCAACTTACGAGTCATATATACATATGGATCAAATATCTTACCAGCCAACCTAAACCCTCAAGGAGAACTCGATTCCCAACCACACAAATGTACCGTATAACCAATATTTATTTTATCAAGCTAAGCTAATATTTCTAGAATAATAGCTGAATTTAGACTATTACCTTTCCGCGCTTGCAGTGGATCAAAACAGGATGATTTCTCACATCTGTGAAGAAACAAAGTGGCAAAGGTAAACTCTGGGTACGAGACAAAGATGAAACGAAAGAGTAAATTCGAATGTTTATGAATTCCATACCGATTAAGATCTTGAGAGCTCCCCTGATGGCATCCTTAAGAGTAGCAGCTGAAGGCTCCTGAAAAAAAACGAAAAAAGCAACAGTAAGCTATTGGGAATCAAAAGCACAATTAATGACAGAAATGTCATATCCATGCTTTTAAGATGAATATATTAATTTCGAATCCTTTATGATTTGTTCTTATTCCGTATTCAAGATTCTTCTTCATCAGCAGCTTTCTGCAATTTATATCATCACCTACTGAGTCCAAGAACTAAAGAATTCCATTCTTGACCAAATTCCAAATGATTGGATAGTCAATGGTGATCCAAAAGTCTCGTCAAAATTTTAACAACTCTTCAAAACTCCTTGAAAAAAATCTTTATTAGACTGGCAACTGATTCAAAGATGAAAACGACTTAAATTCAATAAGTGTATACCAACAGTGATTAACTTAAAACTCTGGCATATAAGCATGGGGGCAATACCGTTTTCCCTTCAATCCCGAACTGGAAAAGCGTGATATTATGAGTTCGAAGAAACTCCATATTCTCCTCAGGGTATGGCCCCGGACACAAATATCTACAAAATTGAAAGGTAAAAAAAAAGATAGATAGTTTTCTCTTAATTTCCTAAGAAACCAAACAGTCAATAATCTAACGGAAAAAAGTTGTAAAAAGAAATCTTAATTATCAAGAAAACCGATGACACTAATGAGGAGAATCAAGCTTCCAAAAAATCTTTAAAAACAAGGAAGAGAAACAAATCACCAATGCGACGAAAAGAAAAAACACTGTATCAATGCAACTGAAAATCAAAATAAAGAAAGAAGAAGAAGTTACATGATGGATCGGAGGTTTAGGGTCTCCAAGAAGGAAAAATTGGCGGGTCGAGGGCAACTAGATCTGTAAATCCCTTCATTCACCGTGGAAAAATTGGATGGCGACTCTATTTCGATGTCTCCATAGTCTTCTTCCACAATGCACCCCATCCTTCTGATTCAATGAAAGAAAGAAAAAAGAGAGATCAAGAGCAATGAGCAACTGTTTACGGCTGCTTTTAAAAGAGAATTAAGAGAGGGTTTTTAGTTTCTTTGAAAACAATGAAAACGGCATAGCATCAGTTATCTGTTAGGATTCCAGTTCTTGTAACGAAACTCCTCTTTCTGTGAGGGAATGAGTTTAGAAAACCGGGACTGGTATTTGTGGTTTATCCTTTATTGTTCTTGTTCTTTCTCTTTAATAAAACTCTTTTATTTTATCTATATAAAATAAATAAATAAATAAACTGTATAAAGTTAAAATAAATTAACTTTTTTAATTTAAAATAATATTTTATTTCGATACATAAAAGTATATATATATATATAATCTCTATTTAAAAATAGAATAGTTGAGAGATTGTGGTATTCAATTTTTAAAAATATATATAAAAAGAGAGGTAAAACTGGGAAAACGAAGACAGCGTGAATGTGGGCAATTAGATTTAGATTTGGAGAGAGGTATTTAAGATTTCAATTAGACTCGGATTTGGATTTTTGTGAAGTTCCTTTAAATGACACCCACACGTGGTAATCTTTTCCAGTTTTATAATTCCTGCGGATCGTGGGATAAGGAGGAAATTTAAAAGTTATTATTATATTTTTCACCAAACTCAGAATTCATTTTTTTTTTCCTAGAGCGAAAAAGGAACACCCACCGCCACATGGGTGGAAACGATAAGTTAATTAAATGTTTTAGATGTTTGATAAAGTAAACAAATTAAGAATTAAATTTAAATTATAAAATTTATTTGATATATTATTTAAAACAATAAAATATATCTGATATATTATTTAAATTTTAGAATTAATCGATCAATTTTAAAAACGTTTCAACAATAATAGCTATACTAATTAAATTAATAAGAAGAACATAAAATTGATGAATTTATCGTTAGTGGAATAATTGGTCAAAAGGAGGGTTCGGATTCCATTGAAGACTTCAATAAAATTAAGATAAGTCTAATTTGTCTATCATGTGAAAATGGGGGACACGAAATCAATAATTTCCTATGGTGGACTAGTTTTGCATTATGATTCTTCATAAAAACTACACTCCCTTTTTAGGGCATGGATTATAAATTTAATTTTTCAATTATGACATATGAGAAAGCTAACATTAAAATAGAAAAAATTACTGATATGAGTTAATTTAATTAAATAAGTATTTATTTATTCATTTTACAGTCCAGCAATCGAGAATGCAGCAATATCAAGAGATGTAAAAAGGAGAAGTGGAAAATGGTTTGACCAATGAGGTACATTGGAGAGTCGATCAACAAAGGGCAATGATAATTGATAAAATAAGCAATAGCGGTTATATATGTTTCATTCAAAACAAAGTAGACTAGCAATAGATAAAGGTGCGCAGACTCCCCCAAAATTCCATTTCTTTGGGCAAAATGCAAGACAAGTCAAGCTAGGTTGGCAGCCACTTACTATTAAAACACCAATGAAAAAGGGCCCCAACAATATTTTTCGAAAAAAGCGATATTATTTCGACAATTATTTTTTTCGTAAATCTAATGTCTCGTATATTTTTATGTTTATATATGTGACAGATTCTTAGCCATCAGCTAAAAACATTCAACTATATTAAATAACAATCTTGTATATATATGATTTAATGAAGAGGCCAGATTTGACCCGTAATTTTATTTGTTTGTTTTCAATAATGTGAGAAAGTTACCTGTATCTTATTGGAAAGTAAGGTTCATGCGCGGCTACAAGGTTATTCCCATGCATGAATATTCAATTGGCTAAAAAAAAGCATGCACCGTCCCTTGTCTCTCATAGTTTTCCGAATCGGACCGATTAGCGAATCAACTATGCTATCGGTTCATTGGTTTAATCGGTCGAACCGATTCGATCGGTCGAAAGAACCAAACGACGTCATAATTATTTAAAAAATTAAATAAAAATACCAAAAATATTTAATAAAAAATAATTTTTATATCACAAGTTATATTCAAAGCAAATCATAACATATATAAGTTAAAAACCATAAAATCAAGTGAAACAAAATGATTCAAATTAACTACAACATAATATTTAAAGTAAAACATATTAAATAATAAATATAATTATATAACTATAATTAAAAATAAATTTGGGGCTAAAAATCATAACAAAATGATATTGTTTGGTTTAATTTTTTTTAAAAAACAATCCCACATGGCTAATAAACATAGAAGAGCATCCCAAAAATCTAAAGAGTAAAAATATGAGAACAAAACAATCTCACATGGCTAAGAAACATAGAAGAGCATCTTAACTAACTTATATAAATAATAGAGGTAATTTGACATTTAAAATCATGGAGCCTTTTGGTGAGCATTGAGTGAACTATTTTTTCACTTCAATCAAGCTTGAATTTTAGGCTTCAATCGAGCTTCTAATTTTTTTTAATTCAAGCATTTTCGAGTTCAAGTTTCAATATTATATTTCGAGTTCGAGTTGAACTTGATAATTTTTAGCTCGTGAGTTTGAGTCGAGTTGAGCTTACTTTTAAAGTTTTCAAGTTCGAGTCGAGCTTAGCAATACTCGAGTTCGACTTGGCTCGTTTAACAAACGACGTCGTTTGGTTTAATTTATTTAAAAAAAAAACAAAATTGGCAGTTTTTTCCGTTTTTCCGATTTTCAGTCGGTCCGGTTCGAACAGTTCAGCGGTTCCGGCCGATTCACTAGTAACGGTTCAACCGGTGTCGATTGAACCGGACTAGACAACGATTTCCGGTTAAATCGGTTGAATCGGCCGGTCCAGTCCTGTCCGATTTTCAAAACACTGTTATCTCTTTCATCCTCCATTTTATAATTGGGGGAGGGGATACGATAAGTGATTGATACATTTTTATTCAATTTAGTGACATGATTTTAATATAAAATAAGATATTAATGATTTAAATATCATAATTTTAAAAAAAAAAATTGAATCCAAATAATTAAAATAAAGATTTTCCCACCGTGGCATTTTCTATTTTCTTATAATTTTTTATTATAAATGATGATATTAGTCTTGAATTAGTCATCAGTTATTATTATTATTATTAGTTTTAATGCATTTGGTTTAATAAATATTCTTTTTTTTCGTATTAAAAATGATAGACGAATTTTATTATCTCTTATAGTACAAAATTCCTTTTATTTATTTATTTTAAGTTAAATTTGATGTCACATCTCCATATGATTTTTTTTAGTTATGTTGTTAACCTATCTTTGTTTTGGACTCTTAGACTAGATACTAACAGCTGCTCATAGTCACTAATGATATATCAGAATTTAATTATGATAATGTCAGTTTATCAATGAGCCATTGTGATAATGTCAGTTTATCAATGAGTCATTATTGTTATATACATTTTTTATCCTTCACCACTAATGATAATATTTTTTGTAATTACTATATTTCTAAGTTGTTGATTAGGATTTTTAAAATTTTCATTGTAAGATCATCTTTTATTCTTAAGTGATCAATTTATATACTTTAATAGTTTTTGGATAAATATTCAATTTATACATTTTTTAATATTTTTAAAAATAATTTAATATACTATATTAAAAACAAGTAAATAAAATTGAGATTATAGCATGTGGCGCTTGACATAGACTTAAAAATAAATTCACATAGCACTAACCAAGTTATCATAGTGGTTAAATCAATGGTTGTTAGTCTTAGAAGTTCCAAGTTCAAGCACTATAGACTATACAAAGTATTTGAGTATTAGAAAAGATACTACCACTTGTGAGCACCTTAGATTAATAAAAGAATGAACGAACATAAATAATCTCAATCTTGTTTATACTTTTTTTCTTGCCACTAACAATAAACCTTAAAATAAATTTTAAGTTGATTTTTTTTTAATTTGCAAAATTGTCAATTCTTGAATAAGCACTGGAATGAACAAGTGCCTATCACCTTATTTGAATCGGGTAAATCAGTCAATCCAGTATTAGGAAACTTGTAGACCGGTCTAAATTGGCAAATTTTGCAGCCAACTTGCCAAGAGATCCAGCTCATGAATAGGTGTGACCCATTTGTTGGAGGCCTAGAAACCGCAAAAACTTGAAAGCCCGTCAATTGCTTGGTAGCTTTATAGGACTGTTGTGAACCTACTTGTAAAGGGATTTGAAGTAGGTCTGACTGATTGTAAAAGCCCAATTGATTGCAGATTTAGATAGATAGTTAATATTAAAGGATGAACATGGGTCGGGTTTTCGGTCAATTCAACTTGAAAAATATACACTCTTCATCTTACTTGAACTCGATCCGTCTTTTTGAGACAAAACTTGAACCTGACCTGAAATAATATATTTAAAAAATAATTTACTTTTATTTAATAAAAGATAGGGATTTAATTGAAAATTAATATATACTGGGGTATTGTAATTATCCCTAAATATATAAGGTAACATTATTTTTTCGGGTTATATCAGGTCGGATATTTTTCACCATAAACTTGAAACCGAACATAACCTCTAAAAAACCCAATTTGACCCGACCTAAACCTATTTTTTTAAATCTTATCCAATAGGGTCGGGTTAAGTCAAAACTCATCGGGTTCGCGTCTTGTACCCATCCCTAATAATATCGATTCAAATAATATAATTAATTACATTACATGTCTTAAAATTATATATTTTTTATTTTAAACGGATCTTTAAATTATGACTAACATTTCAATTTCATCTAAACTATCGGTATATGCTAATCACATCCCATGTTAATAAATCATTAGGTCAAAAATAAAATTTAGGCTAAACTATGGTTGAAACTAATTACATAGTTGGATGAATTTAGGGATAAATTAAGATTCAAAAGTTTGAGAATCAAGTTAGAATAAGGATCATAGTTTAAGAATGAAATTATAATATTCTAAAGTTTGAGGAATAATTTAGAATGAGATTCACGATGATGAAATTAAAATACTTAAAAATTTGATAATCAATTTAGAATGGAAGTCAAGGTTTAAGGACACATGATATAATCACCTCTATGTTATAATATTTAAATTTTCAAAAAAATTTACATATAAAAAATAAATTTAATATTTAAATATTTGTAAATTTAAATAATTTTATAAATATTTGTAAATGTAAATAATTTTAAAAATATAAATATTCAATATACTATCTGATGATTTTAAATAAAC